TTGGCCCTTGCCCTCACAAAAATTACCTTGAAAAGAACAGATTTTAATCAGGTAATTGCTTACACAACTAACCATGTGCTTTTAATTGTTCTAAGTGTTGCTATGAAATATAAGTTGTGTCATGCATGGTGACACACCCCTATACACCCTACTACTCAGGGAGCTGAGACAGGAAGATTACAAGTTCAAGGCCAACTGGAGTAATAGTGAGACTCCATCTCAAAATAATAAAAATGCTAGGAATTTACCTCAGTGATTCCTGGGTTTAATCTATGGTACTTTCAGGGAGAAAGAGGGAAGAGAGGAGAGGGGAAGGGATGGGATGGAAGGGGATGTGGGGGAGGGGGAGGAGAAAAGGAGATGAATACAAAGTGTTCCGACACAGTTTGATAGCCACACCTGATTTAGGGGATGGGGAAGGAGCCACACAGACAGGAAAAAATTTCTTCTACGCCAAAAGCTCAAGGAAGAACAATTAATCAGGTAAAGCTAAGAAAAATGGGAAAAGAAAAGAATGGCTAGATACACACAGGGAACTAGATACACAAAGGCTCTGGAATAGGAAGCAGCAAATTCCTGGAAATATAGAAACTGAAAATAGCCTGAGCTCAGTGAAAGTAAGCCGAAGCTTCCATTTCAAACACTTGGTCTTTAGCCTAAAAGTAATGGGGAGCCATGAAAGGGTTTTAAGCAGAGAGAAGATTAAATTCGTGTTTTCACAAATTTTCTCTGGTTACCATCGAAGAAACAGCAAGAGCAGGGAAGGCAGGGAGACGGAGCCTACGACTAGTGACATGGCCACTGCAGCTGTGGAGGTGCGGGAGACCCGGGCAACGCGCACCAGAGGCCATCTGAGGAGACAGACAAGCAGATGGCTTCTGGATACTTAGAATCTAAGTCATGAGACACCAGAACAACAGGGCAATCAGAAAGACTCAGAGGTTTTTGGGGTGGGGAGTGTCACAGATAGCACTGCCACTGAGGATAACTCACATGCCCTTTGAATCCCTCCTAGGAAAATCAGCAACCTAGACAAGATTTGTTTGTAAGAATGTTTACTACAGTAGTATGATAAATTTAAAACTTGTAAGCAACCTAATACAACAGAATTCTAAAATAAGTTATGGCGCGGCCATCCAAAGGAACATTAGGTAGCAGCTAAGTTACATTTAATGTCAAGATAGTGGTTCAGAGTATGTTAAGTAAAAAGAAGCAGGCTGTAAAAATTAATACATCTTTTTTTTTAATACATCAAGGGCTATATGGATATACATCAAAGTATAAGTAGTCTATCTCTGGTTAGTTGGAAAGGTGTTTTTAAATTTCTGTGGGTCTTTTCATGTTTTTAAGTTTTTTCTACACTGAGTATTTGAGTACTTATTACACAATAGGCACTATACTATAATATGCATATGAAATCATTTACTTTTGAAAATATTTCTAATATACAGAAAAGTTGACTGATTTGCCCAAGGTTACACAGTAAGCCAACATTTAAACCCATGCAGGCTGATTTTAGTATCAGCTTTTTTGTTTGTTTTTCTTCCAGTACCAGGAATCTAACTCACCACCTTGCAGTTTCAGGTAGGCGTTTTGCCGCTGAGCTAAAGCCCTAGCCCCTTAGTATCAGCTCTTAACCCATTATCCGCCCTTGACTGGAAGTTTTACTTTATACTCAGTGAAATAGTTTTTTTTTTGTTTTTTTGGGAGAAGGTCTTGCTATGTAGTTCAGGATGGTCTTGAAATTACTATGTAGACCAAGCTGGCCTTCAACATGCAGTGATTCTCCTGCCTCAGCATCCCAAGTGCTGAGATTACAGGTATGTGCCATTATGCCCAGCAATAATTTTTAAAAAAAACAAATTACCAAAATAATCCACACAATAGGAGAAAATATTTGCAAGTCATATATCTGATAATGGTCTAAAATCTATAATATATAAAGAACTCCTACAATGCAACATCAAAAAGACAAAAACTCCAATTAGGGAATGAGTAAAAAGTCTAAATGGTCATTTCTATTTACCAAAACACCCATGAAAAACTGATTAACATTATGAATCATTAGGGAAATGCAAATCAGAACTGCAATGTGAAGAACGCATGCACTGCAATAGCTGTAATAAAACCAATGTAAAAAGAATGTGGGAAAACCAGAACCTTCATACACTGTGGGAATGTAAAATGGTACAGCTACTTTGGAAAACAGTTTGGCAGTTTCTCAAAATGTTAAATATACAGTTATCTCATCTTATGGTTTATATCTAACCCTTAAGAGTTTTCATCTCTGAACCCTTAGAAGTTCAGAGATGGATTTTTGGAAGGTGACTGTAGCATGGGGCACTATACTCATCAGTGGGTTAGTCCATTAATGAGTTCACAACTGAATGTGCTGCCAGAAGTTGGAGCCTGGGTGGAAGAGGTATTCCCATGGGCACGTCTCTGAAGGTTATCTCTCTCTCCCTCTCTGTCCCTTCCTATTCTCTCAGCTTCCTGGTTGCCATGAGTTGAACTGCTTTCCTCTGGAAGCCCTCTCCATCATGCTATTTCTACTTGAAGCCAGCTGACCATAGACTGAACCCCCTGAAACCACAAGCCAAATACACCTCTCCTTTAAGTCATAGGTATCAGGTATTTTGTCCTAGTGATCAGAAGGTGACCAATATACCTTATGACTTAGCAATTCTTCTCCTAGATATCTGCTCCAGGAAGAGTGGTAATAACTCAACTATTCATCAACTAATAAATGGATAAACAAAATGTGTATGTCTATATAACAATACTATTTGACACTCAAGAGAAATGAAATACTAATTATACAGGTTGTATATCCCTTATCTAAAATGCTTGTAACAAGTATTGATAATTTTGGATTTTGGAATATTTGCATATACATAATGAAATATCTTGGGAAAGGGACCCAAGTTTAAATATGAAATTCATTTATGTCTCGTTACACCTCACCTGTGTTTTGACTATGACTTAGCATGTGAGCTCAGCTGTAGAATTTTAAACCTAGAACCATGTCAGTACTCAAAAAGTTCAGACTTTGGACAATTCAGGATTTCAGATTTCCAACTTAGGGATGTTCAATTTGTACTGCTACATGGATGAACCTTGAAAACACACTAAGTGAAAGAAACCATACCCCCAAACCCAACAATTGTACGATTCTATTTATATATGTCCTGAGTAGGTAAATTCAGAGACAGAAAGGAGACTAGGGCTACAGGAAGGCACAATGGAAAGTGCCTGCTTCAAGGGCACTGCCTTCTCCATGGGATAATGAAGGTGTTCTACAATTAGACTGTATGTGATGGTTGTACAGCATTGTGAAAATACTAACAACCACCAAAGTACATACTTTTAAATGGAATTTTGTCATATGAATTTTATGTAAATTTTATTTAAATTATTAAAAAGATCAAATTATTTTTTCTAAAGAGTAGTTTCTCAAAATAGCAGTTTTTCTTTCATGGCTTTTATTAACTTCAAAATGTCAAATTACTATGTGTCTTCTGTTCAGTGGAATGACAACAGTCTCCTAGGAAAGTGGTAAGCAGATTAATACACTGAATATAAGCAAATCACTCAGAACAGGCCGGTGACAACAGCTTTCAAACAATGTTAGCTACTAATACTAGTGTTGTACATGGAGTCTTGCCAGGATATAAAACTGTACAATTCCTATTTCTCTCCAAATTAGTTTCTAACAGACACTTCAGTAAGCAGCAGATTTAGTTCACTAAAATCAAGAAAGAAAAAATATAATCTGATTTTTATGTTATTGCAGGTCTAGCATTCATTTCTGAAAAACAAACAGTCTGGTCTGTGATTAGAATGAGAGTTCCAGGTATAGGTATTCTGCTAGATGGGTTGTAGGAATCCAAAAGGATTTCAGACACAAAGACCAACTCCATGAGATATGTGACAAAGTCAACATGTGACAAAGAAGCTAGAAGGGAAAATGGGGAACTTTCCAGTTCCTCCTGAGCTATTAATAGAAATTTACAAACCACTTTACTGTGAAGCTTAAACTCTTGAGTTTCTGGACTACCAATCTTACCCACATTGAAAGACACTTTCAACACCAGACAAGGGCTGTGAATTCCATCTAATTAAAAATAACACTGTTTCTTTCCCTTGTATTAACTAAATTTTAGAGGTAATGGTAGTCACTTGGTCTGACAATAGGGCAAAACCCCAAAATATTAGTATACATGTGAGAAAAGGGAGCAGACAAAATGAATGAATTTAAGAGAATAAAAACCAGCCAGGCATGGTGGTATATATAGTCCCAGAGGCAGGAGTATGGCTTGAGCTAAAAAAAAGAAAAAGAAAGAGAGAAAATAAAAAGAGAGAGCACTGAGGGAGGGGCCAGTTCCATAGCAGAGTCCTTGCCTAGCATGTGCAAGACCTTGGCTTTGAACCCCAGAAATAACAACAGAAAGGCTGCTTTATCTACATTTTATGCTTGTTCAATGTAATACAGCTCAGGCAGCTGATAAAGCAAAGGATAACATGACAACCACACTGAGCACTACAGCCTGAAGTTACAAATGCAGGACAGCAGTCAAAAGTGTTAGGGACTATGAGACTGTTTCAGTAGTTACCAGATGGCAGTAGTGGAACTATAGTGCTACACTGCAGAGTTGTAGTATCGGGTAGTATTGTTCTTTTTCAGTCATATGGGAACACAAATAGTAGTGTATTAACAAATATTTATTAAGCCCTACCACATTCAATGAGCCCCAGCAATGCACATACATATACATTACATAAAAAAATATGTTTTATATGAGAGTTTAAACTATTGGCTGTTGAGTCTAAAACACACACAAAAAAACCTTAGGTCAAAATCTTTTTCCAAATACTCCAGGAAAATTTTCGTTTCTGTGCAATGAAAGATTAAAAAGAAGACTGGAAGAAAAGATCTCTCAAGAGAGGAGAGCAACGCTGAGAAGTGGGAGCAGTATTAGCATGGCAGCCTCCAGCCCCACCTGTGTCTGCGCTCTTCATTCCCATTCTGAATCGGATCTGCTTGCCCTGAAGAACCTCAGAAAGGTGCTCAGCAGTCCAGTGTCGCGATGGCCAGTCAGAAACCATGTTGCAGAAGACTGCAGGTTGCCGTAAAGACATTATAATGTCTTTTGCTTTCTCTGGTGTAAAAGGTTTGACATGTTCACCTGGAGAGAGAGATGAATAAAGCAACAGATAACTATAAAGTTATTTCATATCATATGAAGAAAAACAGCTAATACTGTTTCTGTTCTGACAAATCTTTTTGTGCAAATTCGCTACACATACACTTTGTTGATTACCAGTTATAAAAATATTTGGCTTCAAAGGTTCGTAACTCTTAAAATGACTTTTTCATATTAAATTTTAAACATTTGAATGGTGGTAACTATGTACAATTTTCAATGTCAGAAATGAAACCTCAGTGTTAAAAATGGCTTTCCAACTACTTTAAATTTACAAAGTGAAATTTCTGTAAACTATTATTTCTTAAATAGAGAATTATATAAGAAATGGTGCTGAGAACTGCTCTGGAAAGATCAGAGTTGGAGTCTGCAACAATTTTATTTGCTATATCGCCTTTAGTGCCCAAACAAAAATAAAACCAACCTGAACTAATGTGGCAGTCAATCTGGAAAGGCAGAGTACATTTTATTGCAGTTTTAAGAATAAAACATGTGCTGGGGCTGGGGATTTAGCTCAGCGGCAAAAGCGCCTGCCTGGCAAGCGCAAGGTCGTGAGTTCGGTTCCTGGTACCGGAGAAAAACCAAAAAAAAAAAAAAAAAAAAAAAAAAAAAAAAAGAATAAAACATGTGCTAAGATGGTAATCAGTATTAATTTTGCTTTCCATGCATCTATAAACAGTTTAGGAGATACATGTATATTCTCCAAGATATGTATTTGGAGATATATGTACCTCCAAATTGTGACTTAAAGATTCTCATTTTTTAAATCAAAGAACAAAAAAGTTTCTGTTTTCCTCCCCTCCATCTCATCTCCTCTCTCCCTTCTCCCTTTCTCTCTCCTCTACTGGAGAGCAAACCCAGGATCTAGCATATGGTAAGCATTCTACCACTAAGTTATACCCACAGCAAGAAAGTTTCTCTTTAAAGACATCTTAAAATGTTAAGAGTAGCAAAATGGGGCAAAAAAGAATCAAGTTATATCATATACAGGTACAAATTCCCTATGATGAATGTGATCGTTATATAAAGTGTACCAATAAACTTAATAAAAAAGGATTGTGCCGAGTGTGCGAGTGCTCCGGGAGCTGCTGGTCCCGCAGTTCAAGTCCATGCTTTACTCACACCGCCACGGTTCCCAGCTGAAACTCGAGGAGAGCCAGGTATTTCCCATCTACTTCCTGAGGGCAGAGCAGGCAACCCAGGACCCTGCCACCATTACAGACTGAGTCTCTGCCCTCCCTGCACCTGCGGCAGAGAGGAGGTACTCACTCAGAAGCTCCAGGGACTTCTCTGGCTGGGGAGGGGGGGGTGTGCATGTAGCCCCTCCCTCCACATGCCCTGCGAGTGACCAAGTGCTCCAAGAGCTGCTGGTCCGGCAGTTCGAGCCCATGCTTTATATTCACCGGGACCCACTAGGGGGTTGAAGGCATGGGCAGTCTGTGATTGCTACCCGTCTGGCCTGCATCTGGTTCCTGTATATGTCCTGAACTGACTGGAGACACAGAATCAGGTGGTTCACAAACTGTCGACCCTGCAGTTTGTGTCTGGGTTTTGCCTGTACCCTGAACTGCCTGGGGACATAGGTCCACTGGACGGGGACTGTCACACCAGTGCAACCCGAGTCTGGGCCATGCACGTGCCCTGAACTGCAAGGGGTAGCTGGATCAGAGGGCAGACCATCAGCTGACACCAATGCCTGTGTCTGAGACCAGGGATAACTAGATACAAATCAACAACTGCCAGGAAACCTGAGACTAAATAGCGCTTCTCAGAGGTCACTCAGGGACAAATCTGACCAACAGGAAAA